AAGAAAACTAGAACTGGGAAAAACTAGTTGGCCTCATAGGTTGCTAGAATGTTTACGGACATTTGTTTCCACTTCGTATTAATTCTTTGTGTATTCGCAACTGCAACGTCCAAGTTTTTGAAGGCAGCTGCAATCCAGAAGCTACTGAAAAACTTAGGTGCCAAAACCCACCCTTTTGGAAATGAGTACTTTTTCTCCTCTTTTCACACCTTACCATACCTATTTTCTTATTTCTCAGAGTTGAGACATGAGGATCATGTGGGTTCAGAGAATTCACAACCTAGTTGGGTACCTCTTGGAAAGAACCATTGGTCTTGAAGGGAGCATACTGTTTAAAGTCTGGTGCTAAGTGCTTTATAGGTATTACCTCACTTCATTTCAAAACCCCTCTGTGTTAGGTGTTAAAATCCCCATTTTACAGATGAAGAAACTAAGGCTCAGAAAGATGATTAATTATGTTTCCCAGGAATCATGTCTATCTGATTCCAAATTCTATGCTCTTACATTCTGTGCTTCAGTTTCTCTCTAAGGACTTGTGAGATTCATTTTACTTCTAGAATACTGGTTAAATCTTCACTCAAAAAAAAAAAGAGAAACATTTTTAACAAAGTCATTGTTGGGCATAAAAGAATACGCAACATTTGACCTGTGCTTTAAGATGACTAGAGTATGTGATGAAAATGATCAAAAGCATATAATATAGAGGAGGCAGGGAATCAAATAGAAATAGCATGACTTTTAAATTCTATTTAAATCCCAGTTTTGGCTCTTGCTAGTCTGTGAACCATTTATTTAGGCTCTCTGAGCCACAGTTTCCTGGATTATAATAAAAATATTAACACTTGCTACATCTTTTAGGTTATTAGGTTACTAAATTATGTAATTTATGTAAAAGCACTTAGCACAATGCTGCTTCATTTTTGGTACTCAGAAATGTCAGCTTTTTTCCTTCGCTGCAGAAACTGGCAAAAGAATGTAGTTGTCCAATATTGTCACATGCAAGTAAAGATCTCTGGTTTGAAAAGTGAGAAAGAAATGAAAGATCAGGAAATCTTTTCTATAGTCATAAAAATATTTTCTAGCAATGGTTGAAGAAGGACACTTGTTTTCAGATATGCTGAGACCGTATTGAAACATCATGTTGAAAGCAGTAAGAGAGTGTGTTAATGGATAAGGGAGTTAGATGGGTGGGGTTGGCTTAGGCGAGAAGACTGAGGGGAACAGGCAGGCCTGGTCAGTGCTCTGGACAGTGAAAAGGAAAATGTGCAACAAGTTAAAACAACACATCCCCCCCGCTTGGCCAGAGTGGGACCAGCTCCCTCATCAGCACCACCCAGCAGGCCGGAGCAGCTACCTGCTTACCCAGGCTACAGCACTAATGTATATTCATTGCATGCCTGCTACTAGGTCAGGCACTGTGCTGGACAATGCAAAATCATGGTGAACCAAACCAGGCTGAATAGGCCTGGGATGATATGAGTTTCTGTTCATTGAGTGGGTGGAGGTGAGTCATGAAAAACTGGTTAACCTATGACATTGATCCCTGAAGTATGACATTCATGCAGTTTCTTACACAGAAGCCAGGAAGGAGAATATAGTCCCTCTCTAAGAGATGACAGGTTTTGAGCATTTATTATGTGCAGGCATTATCCTCAGGGCTCTATGTCCATTCCCTCATTTAATACCCACAACAAGTCTATCAAGTAGGTACTGTTCACTCCCTATTTTATAGATGTTTAAACCATGGCTTAGAGACATTCAGTGACTTGCCAAAGCTGCAAGTCCTGGAACTGGGATCTGATCTCAGAATCCCTAATTCCAGAGTCTGAACTTCTGGTGAAAAACCCAAGACTGGTTTTAATACTCTGCTGAGATTTGTCTGTTTTAATTGCATCTGTTTCCTCTGAAAGGATTCTTTATCTTTTTATTCAGAAATCAAGAATTAGCTACCAACTCTTGCTTAAAGTGTTGGTCAGTGACAGAATGGTATAACAGAATCTGTGTTCTCTTTCACACCTTAATTTATAAAGGTCTTTTGGCAAGGTCAGCATACTTTTTTCACATGCACACTCCTTTGCTACTCTGTATAAAGGCATTTGTAAATTATGCTAGTTATCTTTAGAAAACTTAAAATTGCTCTCTGGCATTTATATAATCAGCAAGAGATAATCAGATGATATTTTTTTTTTAAACAATGAGCCACTTCCTGTTCATTAACTTATTATGTTTATTTATGGCATAAAACCCATTTTCTCTGTTGAAGGTCACCTGTGGGTTAGTATGGAGGATTTCTTTCCTCCTATTTAAACCACTTTACCAGTTTTTGGCATTTGTATGACTGTTGATTAATTATGGCCCTGTCTCAATCATTCATGGAAGAAATAATAACCTATGCGTCCTTTTACCAGCCATTGCGTTATTCGTAGCTTAAGAAAATGATACAAAAATTCTAAGTTCTTACATATTCTTGTAAATAGATAATCCATAACTATGCTGTGTACACCCGCTCATCTCAGAGAAAGGCACAGTGTTTAAAGTCACAAGCTACCTGACATCAGAGGCCCAGAAGAGTTAAAAGACTCAGAGTCACATATCCAACTTGTGGTTGTATTTGTTTGGGAACCAGAGCCTTCCTAAATACCATTCCAATGGCCTCCCACTGCCTCCCCCTTTCTACACTGAACTTGTTGGCATTTCCACAGGAGAAACAGCCATTTCCTTTATTAGCCTATAGCGAAAGGCCATACATTTCATTCCAGTTGCATCTAATATAATAAACTGAGGGAACTGTAGACACCTTCCCATCCCAATGTGAAAGAGCTTTTTGCCCATTTCAGAGAATTTTGCTGGGGTTTGATGCCCTACATCCATTTTCTTTCCATTTGACAATGGTATTCTGAGTTTTGTTCAAGTGTAAGATCCTCTCTCATTCAATCAATGTACTTCAAGAGGAAATTGATCCCTCCCTTGCTTCAGGGATAGGCCTAGAATGGCTTCAGCCAATCAAGAGGTCCTATTCCCATGTCCATACTGATTGATTAGACATGAGACTGTGACTCAGTGCAGATCAATAACATGTAAGGAGACGTTTGATGGAGGCCTCTAAAAAAAGATCCCTTGCTCATCCACTGACACACTTTTCTTGATGGATATAAATAAGGACTCTTATGACCTCCAGAAACACTGACAGCCATCTGGCATTGTGAGAAGCCAGCTATGGTTGAACTGCTAGATCCAGCCTTATCTATTCAATATTTGTGCCTTTACAGTCCCAGAAGCCAGTAATTCTTTGTTACCTTAGCTGTTGAGTCATGTTCTCTGTCATTTACAATGAAAAGATACATCCATAACCTTGACCACAATTAAGCAATAACCATGCCACCATGCTGCATTATGAAATCGCACTATGGGGACTTCCCTGGTGGTGCAGTGGTTAAGAATCCGCCTGCCAATACAGGGGACACAGGTTCGAGCCCTGGTCCAGGAAGATTCCACATGCCATGGAGCAAATAAGCCAGTGCGCCACAACTACTGAGCCTGCACTCTATAGCCCGCAAGCCACAACTGCTGAGCCCGCATACCACACCTATTGAAGCCCACACACCTAGAGCCTATACTCGGCAAGAAAGAGAAGCCACCGCAATGAGAAGCCCATGCACTTCATCGAAGAGTAGGCGCTGCTCGCCACAGCTAGAGAAAGCCCACAAGCAGCAACAAAGACCCAACACAGCCAAAAATAAATAAATAAATTTACTTTTAAAAAAAAGAAAAAGAAAGAAATCTCACTATGTACTTTCCTCATCTGTTGAATTCTCCCTGCCTTTTATAGAGGATTCTTTGCCCAGCTCATCTGGCAGATGGCAAATACTGCCAATGTGAGATAATTGTGTACCTGTTGGAAGACCATACTCAGTATCAGGCCAGAAAATTGTGCTCTAGAAGGATAAAACAGAAAAACTCTAGAGATTTTTTTTCCACTGATGTTTAGACTATTTGAAACTAAAATAAGAAAGGCCATAAAATATCTGGCTCATATCATCTGTTGGACACTTCCTTTTGGATTTGTGCTTTCTGGAAGGTTTAAATTCATTAACATTAATAGTTAATTATAACTTTTGGGTTTTTTAACTTAAGAGAATTCAGGAATTAAGCAGCAACTAAATTAAATCATGCTAAGTATAAAAAATCGTACATTTTATGATTCATATAAATCATATATTCGGTATGTATCATATATAATCCCATAATCGTAAACTGTTGCTTGTCTTCCCTGGGTTCCAGAAACAAATAAAATGAACTATACTAAGAAGCTTATTAAGGAACTTTAGAATTTTCGGTATTCTAAAAACACCATCTTGCTTTCTATTGTCCTCATATGGTTATAGGCTAATTATATTCATATTTCAGTCCTCTCTATGAGCAATAACCTGCCAGCATTCAGAGGAGATCTTATCAGCTACTAGGCAGAAACGTGGGGAGGAGGTCTGCTTATACTGGCATCTATATCTATACTGATTCTACTTTCCCTCTCCTCTTGCACACCCTTTTTCTCTACTGTCAGAAACACTGCACACAAGTCTGCCAAGGAAACCATCCTAATCTGAAACTGTGGATCCCATCTTGTTTTTTTATTTGCTTAACCCAGAGATGACTGTAAGAACCAGCCCTAGTGTCTCCTCCACGCTTGCCTCCCAGATCACTTTGAGGAAGCATTGCAACTTTTATTATTATATCCAACTTTGAACACTCACAGCCTTGGTCTTCAGCAATGATTTCTACATTACCAACTAATTTCTGTCCTTTTCCCTCATTATAAAAAACATCCTTTGTCCCCCAGTTGAATAAACTCCCATCTTTTTCATTTTTTTATCACCTTCATCACAGTCATTTATCACCTATAGCACTGGACACATCCATCTACATTACTCTAAGCCCTTTTATCATAACAATTCTAAGGATTATCAAATTTAAGTTAAATTTTGGTGTCCCTTTACACTGACCTTTTTGTGGAGTTCCAGGGCCTAGGAATGTTGGGAGAGCTGATAAGGATATTGCAGATTGAGTTTGACGAAAATAAACACATACAAGTTGCCATCCTCATATCATTCAACTGTGTGTTTTGATAGAAGTGGCCTTCATAATCACTATCAGTTGAACTTTGGGGATTTCTTTTTCCTTTAAAAAAAAAAAGCATAGAAATAATCAACAATCATGTCTGCTCTTGTAACACTCTCAAGCAACACTCTCAAGTTCCTAGCTATTTGTAATTTAACAAATAGTTATAGAAATTTCCTACTAAAATGCAGAGACACACTACCTGGAGGTGGTGAGGGCAGTGCAAGGGGACGAGCCCTCAAGCAATAAATTTAATTTAAAAAATAGGTCAGATGACACGCAAACAAGAATTATTTAACCAAGAAAAACTTTTGAGCATCGGCAGATGGCCGATACAGTCGATATCGGCTGATACAGTCGACCTCCATATCCATGGCTTCCGCATCCATGGATCCAACCAACAACAAATCAAAAATATTCAGAAAAAGAGAATTCCAGACAGTTCCCTAAAGCAAAACTTTAACATAGCATTTACATTGTATTGACAAGTATTTACATTATATCATGTATTATAAGTAATCTAGAGATGATTTAAAGTATACAGGAGAATGTGCGTAGCTTATATGCAAATACTATGCCTTTTTATATAAGGAGCTTGAGCATCCGCAAATTTTGGTATCTGCGGGGGATCCTGGAACCAATTCCTTGTGGATACTGAGGGCCAACTGTGTTTCCATTCTCAAATGCCACATTATCACATTATGGAAATATAGGTGTGTCTGTGTGGCTGGATGCCTTCTGAGAAGAGAATTCTCTTCCAGTGAGCATACTCCATGGGAAATCAAATTAAAATCACCCCATTCATATTTCATGGCTTAAGAAGTCTTACTGATGACCAGTCTCTCCCAGAATAATTCAAGTCCCCCTGCCATGTTTCCAAAGTACTCTGCTTTTATTATCAAGTCACTCACTAGATCATTTGTTCAGGGTTTATCTCCTCAACAAGAGATGAGCCCCGTGAATGCAGCCATCACATTTGTCGTGTCCAATACTGCATTCAAAACACCTACCGTGGTGCCTGGCACATAGAAGATGCTTAATCAACATTGGAAAAAGCAGAGGTAGGGTGGGGGGGAGAAAAGAAGAGAGAGGGGGAAAGGTTGGTTCTTTGCCTCATATATTAGTTTTTTGTAGCTATACACCAAATCACCCCAAAAATGGCAGCTTAAAACAACACACATTTATTATCTCACAGTTTCCGTGAGTTACACATCTGGATATGGCTAAGTCCTCCCGCTCAGAGTCTCTCACAAGACTACAGTCAAAGTATCAGTCATATCACGGTTCAACTGGGGCTGGATCTACCTCCAAGCTTACTCAATAGTTGTTGGCAGGATTGGTTCCTTGCAGGTTGTTAGACTAAGGGCCTCTATGACTAGTTGGCTATTGGCCAGAGGCTGCCCACACTTACCTTCTTGCCACATGGGCCTCTCCATGGGGCAGCTCACAACATGGCAGCTGGCTTCATCAGAGTGAATGAGATAGCCAGAGAGCAGCAGTTAGACGGAAGTCACAGGTTTATAACCTAGTCTCAGAAGTGATATCCCATTACTGTTGCTATATTCTAGTTGTTAGAAGCCAGTCATTAAGCCCAGCCCATGCTAGAGAAGAGGGGGTTACATAAGGACATGCATACCAGGACTTGGGAATAATTGAGGACCATCTTAGAAAGCTACTTAGCACACTTAAGCAAGGAATCCAAATAAGACGAGTTGACCAAAAAAATCTCCTGTTTGATAGGATTGGGCTAATTCAGACTATTGTATCCCTCTCCACAATAGGGAAAATTACTCAATATGGCAATAATAAATCTATTTGGCAAATGTATATTAAAGCAATTATTATACACTCAAATGCCACCTGACTTAAAGGTATCCTTTGGAAGTGGTTATAACAAACCTGACTTGTATCTCAAGCAAACCTTTTCTACTACATCTGAGAAATTGAAATGGTCAGACTTTGGTAACTGAAGGAAATCTGGACAGAAGACACACATTCCAGTAGGAAGCAAGTGTGTTTGTTACATCCTCCATATTTCTCCTGACCCACAAGACATGCTGTGTGGTCTGTAAGAGAAAAACATGTACATGTAGGCAGAAGTCCTGAATAAACCAAGGAAACTATTTGTGGGTGGCTTAAAAATGGGTGGGTCTCTTTCAAGGGATTGGGTGTGCCACAATCTTGACCAGCAAGTACATGCTAATGGATCCATCTACAGCTCTGTAGTCTAATTCCTGCATTCCAAACAAGCAACCAGGATATTATTATATACACCCTAGTCTTAAAATCGTTTTAGATCATTGCTCCTTTTCATTCTGTCTGGAACCCGTCAGGTATTTAGATGGGGCCAAAACAAGCAGTTATGTGCAAGTCCTTAAAAACTCTCTGATGGTTTAGCTCTTTAATTATTAAGTTTCTTCAGAGGCTTTAAGCCAGAGAAAAAAGAATTAGAGCCAGTTACTGTGTGTTGGTGTGGCCCTGAAAATCCTTTGGCTGCTGTAGAGGTGCTTGGAGTTATCCTGAAAGCTTTATCATAATCCAGTCATCCTCCCAAATTTGGAGTTGCTTTTATTCAGGCACATTCAGAGGTCAGCCTATAATCCAATGTCACTGCAAAGAGAAAAGGCCTGATCTTTTTAAACCCCAAACTAAACCCCCAACCTAGTAATTCATGCAGAGCATAAGGACCGTGAGATGCTATAAAACAAAATCCAACATCCCAAATAATCTCTCAGGATTTCCACTAACACATTTGCTGTTTACAAAGGCTAAACTGTATTCAAACAGTTTATGCCACACTATCCATGAGACTGCATCATGGCATGTACAGAAGAGAAAGCGTTATTATTTTACTAAGAATCTTGGTTTCTGAAGTGTCCGTCTTATCCATGATCATTGCCGCTATGCAACAGCATCCTTTTATATGCTCTGCACTCAGAGGAGCAACATCACTGATAAATCACAATGTGACCGCCAAGCTGTTAACTCAATGACTCTGGGTGAAGTTCCTATTGGGTGGAAGCATCTGTAAAAAGCTGCTTGACAACAACAGTACAAACCAGCCTCTCAGATGAAAAGGTCCCTTTTTCAAGTACCGATTTGAGGAGGGTAGACTCCATTCTATGGAAAACAGTCTTTCAGGAACCAGCTTATTCTTTACTCAAACGTAGATGCTGACAATCTATTTCCAAAGAAGCATGCATTTATTGTCTCATTCTATTTTTTCCCTCATAGAGAAGACCTAAGGCATATTAAAAATAAGTAAGCAAAAAATAAAGGACTACTTGATTTATATTCAGTAATGCACATTCAAATTTTGAGCCCCCAAGGAATACTTTAGAAGGGGCCCTGCCAACTACCCTCCAATTACATATTTTCTCCTATTTCATAAACTCTTTATCCACCCTGGGAAGATCGCCTTTCTGTGGGATTCAAAGAATCAAAAACATCCACATGTATGCACACAAACCAAGTTGTGAAAACACAGGCAGGATGCTGTGGAAATCTACAGCTATTTAGAAACTATTACCAAGTAAAACCCTTAGTATAGAAAGTTAGGATACAACTTATTCATAATTTCTAAGCCTCAGTTTATTCATCTATAAATGGGTATAGTAACACTAACCTCTTAGAGCTGTTGAAAGAAGTCAAGAAGATCAAGTGTGTGTAGCACATGACTCAATTCATCTCCACCTCTTCACATCCGTACTACAAAACAGAGTGAAACAGAGTGATGTGTTAGAGAACTCACAGGCGCTGTAGTCAGGAAGAGCTGATTAGAATCCTGTTCTGTCACTTACTATTTCTATAAACTTGAATAATTTACCTAACCTCCCTGGACCTTGGTATTCTTGTCTGTAGATTGGGGATAATCATTCCTACCCAGTTGGGTTTGTGGGAGAATCAGGGCTAAAGAAGTAAGAAGCTTACCTTCTGCCTGCCATGTAGAAGATGCTCAATGAAAGTAACCTCTTTATGGCCAGTAACATGATTCCATTTGCCGCTCAGTTGGGATAGAAATTCTGAAGTCATGAAGGCAGCACTTCAGCTGTCCCCAGGTTATTTCATTCTCTTTTGTTCATGTGACACTGAGCAGTTCAGGGAAACTGACAAAATGAGAATACCCAAACTTATCCCATGGTCTGGATCCAGGAAGTGTCAAACCTCTGAATCTGAGAACATTCTTGCTGGGGTAAGATAATGGCTTTCCAGACAACAGTGATACCTGCTCATCACCATTAAATACATAGAGAAAATGTTCCCATGCTTCCCCAGATAATTATTGAGTGCATAGGATGGGCTCAGAATTACGCCATAGTTTCAAGAATAGTATCACTGCTTGTTTTCTTCTCAAGAAAAGGTGACAACAGCATCTGTATCCATTTCCATAGCATCTCTTTCTCCTTTTATGGCTCTAGCAAGATAATGATAAAAATAATAATACCACGTCCTGGTCGGGATTATATTGAAACAATTACTTTTGGCTATAAACATCAAATCATAAGAGCCATGCCACGGCCTCCAGGGACCTCAGTGTGCAATAGATATGATCTTCTTCGGATGTCTACATGAGGACATCCCTTAGAGGATATCCCGGAGTCTGTTTGCATTTCCGTGGGAGTGAGACAAGCCCAAGTAATCAGTTGAGAGTATCCTATCTACTCAACAAGAATGGACAAAGAATAGAGAAACTTGGCCTAGTATAATATAATTCATGTCTCTGGGTTACTATTCAAAATCCTTAAATGTTGCAAATGAATGTCAAAATGGTGCTCCTCAGAAATGTTCAGGCAAAGTGCTCTGTTTGTAAGCATCTGAAAGCTTAGTTTCCTCATGTGATCGATGAGAATAATGAACTTATTACCATCAAAGTGAATGATCTTTATAATAAATAGGGCCCAATAAAACCACATATTAGTATTGTTCTCATTGTCATCATTTATTGACACAGAGATTAAAAGCTGCTGGATCTATTCGTATAATTCACATTAGTACAGAGCCTTGAATGCCAGGTTTAGGGGGTTAGATTGTGTCCAATCACAATAGATAGTTTTTTGCCTTGTTTTGCTTGTTTTTAACAGAGGATTATATTCTTTTAACTGAGTTTTTAGCAAGATTAGCAATAGTAGGCAGAAAGGAATGGTGAGAATAGAGAAGGGGCATGAAGGCTGAGAGATCAGAAAAGAAGCTTTTAAAAGAATCTCTTGTTTTATTTCTCTAGAGAAGCCAGCCCTTAGTGCAGCTTGTGACTGTGGTGCCAGAATTTCATTCAGAATTCACATGCAACGTACTGAGCCACTTCATTAGCCTCCCTACGTGCCACACTTCTCATTAGTCAGGGAACTAACCCGCTCCAGTGTCAAAGGGTGGCCAAATGGCAAGCAGAAGGGGCCGAGGAACTGTGACAAGGGCGTGCAGCTACCCAAGGTATAGGACGTCACTGCTGAGAAGCGACAGCCGTACCATCCAACCTGGTTTGCAGCAAGCAGAAAAAGAACAGCCTCTTTGGAGCAAATGAAGCCTGAAGACCATGAGGTGAACAGGCAGTGTCACATGCAGGAGGTACAACCAGGAACAGCAGAGAGTCATTCGAGGGCTGGGCACTCAGCAGGGGTGACACAGAGCACAGGGTGTGCTTCAGTCTTCTCAGTGACACTTATCCACATGAATGGACACACCATCTGTGGTGGCATTTTTACTGTCACTGTATTGCTTTGGCTTTATTTTTTTAATATGAGAAGCAAAGATCTATATATAGTCTAGATATAGATATATAAACACACATACATACACACACACCACAAATTGTGCTTTGCAAAATACAGATTTAATGCCTCCACTGAAGTCTGCAAAGCATTTTTTCTTGAATTTATAGCTGATTCCCTTGTCAAGGACTCATCTGCTTTCATAACTTGGTGGAATATTTTCAGATCACAGTTTATTCTTTTGTTTTCAGAACCACTTCATTACATACATCAGTGAGGTGGCATGTTTTTACTTTCTGTACTCAACAGAAGCTGAATTTTTAATAAAGAGAAATTGGAAAAGTAGAGCACTATTAAAAAATACAGAATTCTTCTCCTGATTGGGCTCTGGTGTTTCCTCACCCAATCATAGGAATCGTCTTTTGCAAAGGAAAAGATTTTGGTGTCTCTTGGGGGAAATTTAGCAACTACCAGAGTTGCAAAAGCCAAATAAATATGTGATCCTGTTGAAACACAAAAATCAAAATGGCACTTGTTACCCTCTCTTAAAAAGCTCACTTCTGTACTGATAGCTAGATGATTCATCTTGAAAACAGATGATGTAAACTTGAGGTATCAATAAATACAGTACAGTACTGTGAAAAGACAAAAAACTCACTTCTGCTAAAATACTGCACCAGCCATTTGCCAACCTTTGGCAGATAAACGTGACATTTCCATTGCCACATAGACAGTAGCAACTCTACCAAATATTCTAAGGTTCTTGGTGGTATCATAACACTTCGTGACATGACACTCCATCTCCCCGGCCTTTATTATGCAGTAGCAACTCTGAACACTCATTAAATATATATGTCACTGCATATGTTTTCTAGTCCTATAGATTTGTTTTATGAATAGAAAAATACCAGAAAAAGTTCTCCAAAGCTTTGTTTCTTCAGAGAAGTGCCTCTCTTTAAAATAAAATCACAAAAAGAGAAAAATCTTGCTAGAATAATCTGATCATACTAACCTAATTGCCTTTCTTGTGAGATCTGAGTAATCTTAGGAATATGGTTAATGCCTTTATGTTTGCTCAATCTTGATAATGCTGATTTATCTTGACTATTTTATCAAGGTTCCTAGTCTTGCCTCACAGGACATGCTCTCCAATTTAATGGGAAACTGTCTTAGACAGTGGAACTGATTTTCAGCCCTCTAATCATTTGCCATAATGAGATGGAAGCCAAGAAACTAAAACCCAATCAAGGAGATTTTATTTCAAGAAAATTTTGCAGATGTCCCATTTCAGTCTCAAGGAAGACTCTGGTATCATCATTGCTGTTATCACTAACAATGATGATAATTGTGCACCAGCTACCACTTTGAAATAGTAAACATGTTTGCTGATAGCTGTGTTTCTCTTGGACCAGCCATTCATTAATTTATTCAACCAACGGATATTTCTTGAATGACTGTTATGTGCCAGGTATTGTTCTAAATGCTAGGGGCACAGAGATTAATAAATTACCATCCCTTCCTTTGAGTTGCTAATAGTTTAGGACAAAAAATAATGCCATGGACATTTATAGCATAGATCAGTGCTATAAAATGTGTATCCAAAGTGCTCCATTTAAAAGGAGGGGACAAGCAGTTGGTCATGATTGCTGGGAAGGCTTCACAGAGCAGGTAACAGTTTCATATTCTAGGTGAGAATGGAATGATAAATGGGGAGGCAGAACATTCATTCTTTCATTCAACAAATATTTACTGAATGACTACTGCATGCCAGGTGCTAGGGATACAGCAGTGGTCAATCAAAAACTTCTGCCCTCATATATCTTTTATTATAGTGAGAGGAGAGTAATTTAAAAATAATAATAAATAGGCAAAATATGTGGTTTTTCAGGTGATTGTAAGGCTTACACTTATGAAAAACAAAGGGAAGGTATCAAGAGTGTCACGAGTAGGAGAGGTTACTAGTTTAAATAGCATGACCAAAGAAACCTTCCCTGAGATAACGACATCTGAACAGAACCCTGAAGGAAGTAAAGGAATGAGCCATGCACATATCTGGGGAAAGAGCCTTTCAAGCAGAGAACTGTATGTGAAAAAAATCCCTGAGGCTGGACACGGCTGCCATTTTTTAGAAATATAAAGGAAGCCAGTGTGGCTGGAGAAGAGTAAAGTGAGATCTGAGAGTCAAGTAGCACCTTGGAGGTTACTCTAAGGACTCAGGCTTTTGCTCTGGATTCTTTAGGAAGCCAGTGGAGGATTGCAACAGAGTGATATGCTTGCCTTCCATCCTGAAAGTATTGAAAACAGACTATAAGGGGACATGGATGAAAGTAGGGGGACCAGCTGGGAGGCTACTGCAATAATGCGAGCTGGAGATGGGTCTAGTTCCAGGAAGGCAGCATGAAGGTGGTGAGAACTGATCAGTTTCTGGATACATTTTCAAGATAGAACCAACAGGAGTTATTGATAGATCGGATAAGTGTTATGAGAGGAAGGGAGTCAGGTATGTCTCTGAGAATTTTAGCCAGAGTTAGAAGGATAGAGTTGGCACTATCCAGCTCACCTCAGCTAAAACAGGACAAGAACATTTTGAGCATCTCTACGTGTTAGGGTCTGTGTGGAAGAGGGAGGGTAATTAAACACCACTGTTCAGCGTGACCCACTTGCACCACAAAGAGGCATTTCTCCACAATTTAATGAGAACAAAACTCCATCCTCAGCAAAGACAGAGTGAAAGATCTATGCTCAGTGATTCAGAGACAAACAAGAGAAAATGCCCAATGATGTCAAGGATTGCACTAATCCTCCCTGCCCAAATTTCCAGATACTCCAAACTAAAAAGTAAGAATCAGAATAGGCATAGCTTAAAAAAAGTTAGCAGGGAACAGAATGTATACAAAGAAAAATAACAAATTGGGTAGTTAATTACAATAGGAATGCCTACAATGGCAAAGTGGGAGAAAAACTTCTCAAACTGGAATGTAATAGCGAGGTATAAATACAAAAGAACATTGTGCCTAGAAAGGAAATCACCTTGAACTAGTAGTTAGAAGGCTCTGGGTTCTCTTCCTAATGTTGACCTTTGGGCAAATTAGTTCACTCATAACTTTCAAACAGGGATATTTTTTTACCCCCAGGATATGTGCTAATGTGCTAAGAGTAAAGGCTAAATATTATATTTAAAACGTCATTTAAACCTAGTTTGGCTAAGGATAAGTTTTCCTTTTAAAAAATCAAACAAATATGATTACATAATGGAGTATAAAAATAAACACGTGTTTTTCCCATTTATTCAGGCTTTATTTATTGAGCACCTGCTATGCATTAGTCACTATTCTAGGCAATAGGTATAGCAGTTAACAGGACCGCTGCAGACCATGACTTCACAGGGCTTGTTATCTTATAGTGAAGACAGACACTGGACAAGTAATTACAGAATGAAGCATAAGCTTCCCATAAATCTCATACTTGTGGCAGGCCCCACAAGCCACCAGGGATGAAAATCACATGTTGATTCTCTTCTAAATTAGGAGTGTATTGGGGAAATGTTTGATGAAAACTAACTTAAGCTATGGAGCAGAAGCAGGAAGAACTACAGTCCTGCAGCCTGTGGAACAAAAACCACATTCACAGAAAGATAGACAAAATGAAAAGGCAGAGGACTTTGTACCAGATGAAGGAGGAACAAGATAAAACCTCAGGAAAACAAACTAAATAGAGTGAAGATAGGCAACCTTCCAGAAAAAGAACTCAGAATAATGATAGTGAAGATGATCCAGGACCTTGGAAAAACAATGGAGGCAAAGATCAAGAAGATGCAAGAAATGTTTAACAAAGACCTAGAAGAATTAAAGAACAAACAAACAGATGATCAATACAGTAACTGAAATGAAAAATACACTAGAAGGAATCACTAGGAATCTTCAGAATAACTGAGTTAGAAGAACGGATAAGTGATCTGGAAGACAGAGTGGTGGAATTCACTGCCATGGAACAGAATAAAGAAAAAAGAATGAAAAGAAATGAAGACAGCCTAAGAGACCTCTGGGACAACATTAAACACATCAACATTCGCATTATAGGAGTCCCAGAAGGAGAAGAGAGAGAGAAAGGACCCGAGAAAATATTTGAAGAGATTGGAGTCAAAAACTTTCCTAACATGGGAAAGAAAATAGCCACCCAAGTCCAGGAAGCACAGAGAGTCCCAGGCAGGATAAACCCAAGGAGAAACATGCTGAGACACATAGTAATGAAATTGACAAAAATTAAAGACAAGGAAAAATTATTGAAAGCAGCAAGGGAAAAACGACAAATAACATACAAGGGAACTCCCATAAGGTTAACAGCTAATTTCTCAGCAGAAACTCTGTAAGCCAGAAGGGAGTGGCATGACATATTTACAGTGATGAAAGGGAAGAACCTACAACCAAGATTACTCTAACCAGCAAAGATCTCATTCATATTTGACAGAGAAATTAAAACCTTTACAGACAAGCAAAAGCTAAGAGAATTCAGCACCACCAAACCAGCTTTACAACAAATGCTAAAGGAACTTCTCTAAGTGGGAAACACACGAGAAGAAAAGGACCTACAATAACAAACCCAAAACAGTTAAGAAAACGGTAATAGGAACATGCATATCAATAATTACAAAAAAATGTAAATGGATTAAATGCTCCAACCAAAAAATACAGGCTCACTGAATGGATACAAAAACAAGGCCCATATATATGCTATCTACAAGGGACACACTTCAGACCTAGGGACACATACAGACTGAAATTGAGGGGATGGAGAAAGATATTCCACGCAAATGGAAATCAGAAGAAAGCTGGAGTAGCAATACTCATGTCAGATAAAATAGACTTTAAAATAAAGAATGTTACAAGAGACAAGGAAGGACACTACATAATGATCAAGGGATCAATCCAAGAAGATATAACAATTATAAATATATATGCATCCAACATAGGAGCACCTCAATATATAAGGCAACTACTAACAGCTATAAAAGAGGAAATCAGAGGTTTCTTTTTGGAGTGATGAAAATGTTTTAAAACTGATTGTGGTGATGATTGTGCAACCATATGAAGATAGTTAAAATCATTGAATTATATACTTTAAATTGTACTGTATGCAAATTATATCTCAATAAAGCTGTTATTTTAAAAAAGAAATACAAATTATCAAGAAGCACATGAAAAATCTCCAAATTCATTGATTGCCAAATAAATAAAAAATTAATAATTAAAAAAAAAAGGAGGAAATCGACAGCAACACAGTAATAGTGGGGAACTTTAACACCTCAATTACACCAATGGACAGATCATCCAGACAGAAAATTAATAAGGAAACAAAAGCTTTAAATGACACAGTAGACCAGATAGATTTAATTGATATTTATAGAACATTCCATCCAAAAACAGCAGATTACACTTTCTTCTCAAGTGTACATAGAACATTCTCCAGGATAGATCACACCTTGGGTCACAAATCAAGCCTCAGTAAATTTAAGAAAATTGAAATAATGTCAAGCATCTTTTCTGACCACAATGTTATGAGATTAGAAATCAATTACAGGGAAAGAAACTTAAAAAACACAAACACATGGAGGCTAAACAATACATTACTAAATAACCGAGAGATCACTGAAGAAATCAAACAGGAAATCAAAAAATACCTAGAGACAAATGACAAGGAAAACATGACAATCCAAAACCTATGGGATGCAGCAAAAGCAGTTCTAAGAGGGAAGTTTATAGCAATACAATCCTACCTCAAGAAACAAGAAAAATCTCAAACAATCTAACCTTACACCTAAAGGAACTAGAGAAAGAAGAACAAACAAAATCCAAAGTTAGTAGAAGGAAAGAAATCATAAAACTCAGAGCAGAAATTAATGAAATAGAAACAAAGAAAACAATACTAAAGATCAATAAAAAATAAAAGCAAAAGAAATGAAAAAAGAAAACTAAAGCTATGAAACTCTGTAGCTTGGGATGGAGAAAGTATTTAGAACTGTGTTAATCAGGTCCTCTAAAAAGCAGTCATCAAGAATGTATTAAATGTGCAAGCACTTTATTAAGGCAAATGCCTATGAGGTGAAAACCGGAAGGTAGTGGGAGGAGGCTGGAAGAACCATCAGATCACGATGCAAGTGTGACCCCAGTGGAAGAAAAATGGACTGGGTGGTGGGTTGGGTGGAACCATGCAGTCTAAGGAATTTTTGTCCTTAAGCCAAATCGGCCAGCATTATCATCCCTGCTGCCCACAGCTACTGGCTGGAGAGCAGCCGATGGGAAACATGGCCTCTGTGTAAAAGTGGAGATAGTTGTCAGAGTACAACTGACAACAGCAGCTGGGTCTTTGGTCACTGCTGCTGGGCTCTTTGGTCTATTACACTCCCTGTAGTGGAAGGTCTTTTAGGGGGCATTCTCATGGCTGCTGAAAGATTTCTTTTTTCTTAATGAGCATAGTCCTTGGAGTCTGAAATAACCTTAGTTGACTCCAGTATCAGCAACTTAATAATTTTATGACATTGGGCAAATTACTTATTAGTTGTAAAGGTTAAATGAAATAACACCTGTAATGTGCATCGTACAGTGCCGAGAACATAACAGGTGATCAGTGTTAGACCTGCCCTCTTTTCCCTTTAACCATAAATACATTCATTGGTTCAACATGCATTTTTGAAGATCTTCTATATGCAATGTAGGAAAACAGTGTGAGTATGTGAAGGGCCTAAGTTATAGCCTCTCCCCTTCAAATTGCTTTACTAAAAATTGTAAAAGCATAAAGCGCTACTAAATACTAAAATGGAATGAGAAGGAAGCAGGATCTTCAGGAGGGTAAAGGAGCACTCACATCTTACTACTTGAATTGTTGCTGAAGTTGATGGCTCGAAAATTCTTAGAGGAGATTCCACCTTCCCTAATGTTGTGAGTTTATGGTAGTTCGAAGAATATGTTGCTGTACGATGCAAGGTTTATAAACTCAGCACTTGGAGTATGGATGGTGCATCTTCATTTACCCAGCTCCTTGCCACCTGAATGCCTAGCTTTTCCAAACCCTTACATTGTACCTACCAGCCCTCCTCTCAAATTGTCTGCACGTTACACTGGAGAGAGTGCCATTGTCAGTCTGCCCCTCACAATGCTTCCCCAAAGCCCTTTCAAGACCCTCTTATTGGCAGGGCAAAGCACTTACATTATTGCTCCAGGCCTGTAAATGTGTGCTTCGTGCATCCAGATGGTGCCCCACTGAAATCAATTTAGATATGGTTTGATTATACTTCAGTGGTACAAGAACTGTCTTTCCAAGAATATAGAGAACTCATTGAATGTCCTAGGAAAATAATTATAATAATAATTAATCAAATAAGACTCAATTGGAGCTGACAGAAGCAGCTTCAATTCTCAGCAGGATCACAGACTTGCTCTATGACATCAGGAAAGTTATTTGCCCTGTCTAGGTCTCATGTCTGTATCTGTGAAATCTGTGTGTGCAGGGCAGTCGGGGAGGAGGGGATGAAGAGAGGCAACTCGCAATGACTAGGCACCTAAAATGTGCCCAGTACTAAGTTAAGAGCTTTGCAGTCATCATCTCAATCAGTTAATCATCAAACAACCTTTTGGGGGAGAATCATTCATTCCTTTAGCATTCATTCAATAAATTCTTATTAAGAGCTTATTTCATGCTAGTCACTGTTAGGTGAAGGGTATATGTTAGCGAAGTGAGCAGGTTGGTCCCTTCTTTGTACCTGATCACAATTTCACAGATGAAGACTTGAGGCTTAGGTACATGAGGAGCTATGCTGGTAGTTAGTGGGTGGAGACTCCAAAAAACTGCTTCTGATTCCAAAACACAGGGCTCCTTCCTCTCCAGCCGCCAGTGCTTCTCAACCTTTTTAAAATTATGATGAAAATCTCCCTTCCCCACAGAGCTTTTCTAGACAATTTTTCCCCCTAATTGCTTCCCCCACACCCATGAAATAAATACTAATTTGTCACATTGGTCTGAGCCTTGGAGAGTTTAGATTGTTAATATCTAAGATATTTTCACCGGTACCCACAAAAACTAATTTTCACCCAGTTGAGTGTGATATTCCTCCTGTTGAATGAATGTTCTACACCACATTCTTTATATCGTTATAGGCACCAAAGCTTTTCCAGGCCCTATGAGTATTGGTGTTGGAAAAAAAAAAAAAAAGCTCTGAGATTAGAAATCAATTACAGGGAAAAAACCATGGGACATGGTCCCTACTCTCAATGAAATTACAATCTTGCTCACACCATTAGGTTTACGAAACTCCCAGCCACAAGATCCCAGGATTCCGGTTCTTAATATATTTAGGATTACTAGATGGAAATTATTAAGAGGAAATGAACTACCAATTTAGCAAACAACAAAAGGTTTCATTGGCATTGGTAACTGAATAACTGTGTGGTGATCACTACACCCAAATTTTAAACAAACAGGATACATGCTTTCTTATCTTGGAAATCAAAGGGACTGGATCTGTTAGCAACCACTCCAGTGGGTTTCCACTGCCTCTTCCCTGTATCTTTTATATCCTCACTATCAGCTGGAAGGCCTTGTTGAAATCATTTGGCTCACAAATTGGCTTATCATAAATAATATAGACCCCTCTCATATCACTCACCTCCTCCACATTAATGACACTGAATGGGTACCATTAAGGACTCTTCTTTTATTCAGAAGAAAGGATTTTGATGAATCCATTGCTTACAGGCAGAAATAAAATAATTCAAAACCGCATTTTGAAATTAAACCTTCTGTGGTCTGAGCAAGCATCATTGTCAGTTCTTTTATGCATTTCCAACGTTGCCACAATTAATATTTTAAAAGGAGCTTCACCAGTGACATATTTAGAAACAGAAATCTTAATATTCTTTTCCCGGTAGCCACATTCCATTGCTCAGCAAAGCAGAGGGAGCCCCGTCAAAGCAGCAGCAGCCATGCCAGAGAGAACTGGGTGTAGGACTATAGGGGCTTATACTTGAGCCTCTGCAAAGCCCTTCTGCCATTTGCCTCTCAGTGTGATGCCCAGGGAGAGGAGGAAATCGCTCTCCTCTCAGCCCCTCCACGAGGCTTATGCCTAGTACCCCAGGGGGATAACCACAGTTATTTACAGATAATCCCCTCTTGGAAAGGTCAGATTTTATGATGTGTTTATGACCCTCTCTGGCCACATAAGTTCATTTGCACTGGATTGGGGAGGGGAAATAGTTTTAAGCAGATTCAATTCATTTCTGAAACTTTGTGCCTGATTACATCAGGAGAGGTTGGGCTCAGTTGCCAGCACCAAAGGCTAAGATGAAGCTGACACTTTAGGGCCCACCTTCGCCCCTCCCATCTCCTCTTCTCCTGGTTAGAGAGTTTATCTGTCTCCCAGCCATGGCTTCTCATTCCTGCAGGAAGAACCTGAAAAAGGACTCTTTGCACACTGGTCACTTGCTGTGTCTCTATCGGCCAATGAGGACACCCAGTATCACAAATCAGCTTCAGAACATGTACCAGGGATGGGTGTGGAATCCAGGCTGAATCAAGAACTAGCCTGTGGAGCTGACTTACCCTGTGAATATGCTCATAGATGCCATGCGTATGACTTAGCCCTCACCTCCAGGCAGATGACGTCCGCAAGTTTCTCTCCTGTTCCTGCGTCTCACTCAAGCTCTGGGGCCACGTTTTCAACTCATTGCTGAATGTTGTGTGAGCATCAAGCTCTTTATATCTAAACTAAACCCTCAAATTCATACCCCAAAAAACAAATCTGTGTATTTCTATCTCTACAAATGGCAACATCATTCCTCTAGTCACCTAAGCTCAAGAATGTGGAATAAAGAAGATGTGGCACATATATACAATGGAATATTACTCGACCATAAAAAGAAATGAAATTGAGCTATTTGTAATGAGGTGGATAGACCTAGAGTCTGTCATACAGAGTGAAGTAAGTCAGAAAGAGAAAGACAAATACCGTATGCTAACACATATATATGGAATTTAAGAAAAAAAATGTCATAAAGAACCTAGGGGTAAGACAGGAATAAAGACACAGACCTACTGGAGAACGGACTTGAGGATATGGGGAGGGGGAAGGGTGAGCTGTGACAAAGCGAGAGAGAGGCATGGACATATATACACTACCAAACGTAAGGCAGATAGCTAGTGGGAAGCAGCCGCATAGCACAGGGAGATCAGCTCGGTGCTTTGTGACCACCTGGAGGGGTGGGATAGGGAGGGTGGGAGGGAGGGAGATGCAAGAGGGAAGAGATATGGGAACATATGTATATGTATAACTGATTCACTTTGTTATAAAGCAGAAACTAACACACCATTGTAAAGCAATTATACCCCAATAAAGATGTTAAAAAAAATGTGGAATATTCTTTGATTCCCCCTTTAGCAGACTTCCCAGCCCTGCCCACCTCCACTCTCAGCTAATGATTTTACTTCCCTCCCCTTACCATCCAGAGCATCTCCTCTGTGTTGTCTCAGGAAAGCTCTCGAGGACCTTTACCTGTGCTTTTGACCCAGCTCCTCTCCCACCTCCTCCAGGGCTTGAGTCCATCCATTACCCTCATCTCTTTAAATTCTCTCTTTCCTACCAGCTCCCTATTAAATTGGGCTTGGTACGTCTGTCTGCATTCTGGCTCTGTCATTTACCATCAGAGCTCTTTCATCTGGCCTAAAATTAGAAATAATATCTTCCTCATAGGGGTGTGGTGAGGATAAACCCAAACAACCAGTACAAAGCATCTGGCTTATTGTAGGCACTTACATTCGCTCATTGAACAAAATCCTTATTAGTTTCCAAACACTGAGCTGAGCACTAGGACTAATAATCAATAGCATTTATTAGCCCTCCCTACTAGCCAGCCACTGTTCTTAGTGCTTTTCACATATTAACTCATCTAATAATCACAAGAAATCATTACAAATATTATTAATTGTAGAAGCAGTTACAGTTATTATTATGTTCAGATGAGGATATCAAGGTATGGAGAGGGTAAGGTCAAGTCAAAGTCAAGCCCAGACAAGTCTTAACCACTACATGTACTTTCTCTGAGAATGTTGCAGTGCCTGGCCTCTCACGTTCTATAGACAAGTAAACAATTACAACATAGCATATTAAATGCTCTAATTCTAGGAGTCCTGGGGTGTGATGGGAACATGAAGGAAGGACAAATATTTACTGAGAGGTCAGCAAAGCTGACCAGCTTCCAGCTTTGAAAGACAAATGTTAGTTTCCTTTCCTTTTTTGGGTCTTTCCCTATTCAATAACTAATCTCATTGCCAGAAAAAACAAAGTGCAGCTCTGATATTATTCTCCTGCTTAAAACCCTCAGATTTTCATTGCCTATCCAATAAAGTCCACACTCCTCAAATTGGCTTTGCTGTCTTTTCCTAACCTGGTGTCCAGATCCTTACCTGTGCTCCTGCATCCTCTTTCTCCAGGAGGCCCTTGCTCCTATTCATCCATATGTCCAAATCCTCCCTCATTTTCAAAATTCAAACTGTTACACTTCTTTTAAGCCTTCACTAAATTTTCATCTAAACATCATCTCTCTCTTCTGAAATTCCATGGCCTCATTTCTTTCACTTTTGTATTAAAGATTTTTATGTACACATCTTATCTCTTCTACTGGATTTGCAGCTCCTTGAGGAAAAAGACAGCTTCTTGTGCATCTTTATGAAAGACACATTGCTAAAACTGTGCAAAATGGAGACCCAGAATCTTCCCAGACTCCTCTGTCTCTCATGTCTCTGCCCTTCCCTCCAGTACAGTCACTCATGGAATCCTATCCTCGCTTCCTCCTGAAGAACTCTTGTACCACCCACTCCTTTCTATTCCCATTACTCCAGCTTTAGTTCAGCCCATTATCCTCTATTACCTTAACTCTGGCACTACTTAAATCAGCAAACTTTTACTGTCAATAGCCAGATGGTAGACAGTTTGGGCTCTGTGCTACAGTCTGTGTAGCAACTATTCAACTCTGCCCTTGTATGAAAGCAGCTATAGACAATACATAAACAAATGGGTGTGTCTGTGTTCCAGTAAAACTTTATTTACAAAAACAGACAGTTTCTAGGCCTGAATTGCCTGGCAGTAGTTTGGCAACCCCAAGTTTAAATAGATACATAATTGTTCCCAGCACTTGCATTCAAATCCGTCATCTAGGTAGAGTCAAAATGATGTTTCTAACTGCAAATCTGGTCGTGTTCCCCAAATACTTA